AGAATCCCCTTGATAGGGTTAGTAGTAAGTGTGGTGACTCGGGCTTGGGTCTCCAGCACCGGAGTAAATCCGCAGATACTGGGTGGGCATGGGAGCCTGCCTTTAATCCCAGCATTCAGAAGGTAGAGATGGGATCCTGAGGGGGAGATTAGCTAGCTGAATAGGTGAGTGGGTTCAAGGGAAAGAACTTGCCTGTTAGTAAGGTTGAGAGAGGAGGAGGAAGATATTTGATATCAATCTCTGTCCTCACATGCATGTACACACATGTACATACACAGTACATATTACATACACACACACTACATACTCTAGCAAAAAAGAACCTTGATATTTATTAAGTGAATGAAGCTAGACTTTGCTTTCTTAGACTGTTGAGGTTTGGTCTGTTGCTATGTATTGTGATGCTAAACTCTGTACCCGCAGATCTAGGCCTCTGAGTGAATTTTTGTGTTTACAAGCTTTTGTTGTGCAAACCCTGTTCCTTGAGTTAAAGCTATTGGTTAAATAAATTTGGCCACAGCCAATTGCTGGAGAGGTTAGAGGTGGGTGGACTTTGAGTTACCTGGTTGGGGCCAGAGAAGAGAGAGGAGGAGAGACCAGGAGAACAAGAGAGAGGAGGAAGCTGACACGAAGAAAAATGGACCGTGAGCACATACCCAGGAGAAACAGCAAGTGTCTGGGGTACACCACTGGGGAGGTAGCTGGCCACCAGTTAGAACAGTAGATTAGGGGGTTACCCCCCAGTAATTGTCAAAGCCAAATAAAATAACCATAGTCTGAGTTTTCATTCATTTGTAAGCTAGTGAGAGATAAGTTTACATTGGTTGTTTTACCTGAGACCACTGCAAGTTCCTGGGCTAAAATCTCTGCACTCCCTCCTGCATTCAGCACAGTCCTCTTCTGAAGTCCCTCCCTTCCAGCCCTCTCATTCTTTGGGGATGAAGCACGTTAGTCGGATGGAAAAGAGGACAGCAGGAGAAAGGAGGAATAACAACATGTCCAGTCAACTCCTTACAAGACTATGGAGGCCAGAATGGAATTCCCCCAAGCTGGACTCCGCCCAGTGCACCAGGCCTAGGTTATTGGGTAAGAAGAGAACATTAGAAAAATGAAGTTGGCAACTGACAACATGGTTTTGTAATGTGGAAGTAAGTGAACTTCAATTTATTTTGTTTTAGAAGCACTTCTGGCAGGAGCAGGCTGTGGGGCTTTACTGAGCCAGGAGCTACATGGGTAGCAGCAGACCTGGCTGGTAGGCTATTTTAGAGCGATCATTTGTTGGCATCCATTGTGTTAGAGGACAGACCAGACCAGATGTGCTGTATCATTTTGTCAAACTTTGGCTTCTCCTTTTGAAAAATCACCAACCATCACAGCTGGCCGTGGCCCAGGCTTTGTCAGCCGGGGTGCGTGCATCAACACCTGTGACCACGAGAAAAGATCTTCGAATTCCTTCCGAATTCTTTTAACCTCCCCTGTAACGTCCCCAGGTGGTGAAGAATGGAATGTTCTCGGTTTGCCACAGAGGCTGACACTGGAGGAGCTAGTGGTCCATCCTACACTCCCAACAAGTTCAATGTGACATCCTGGGATTTCTACAAAGACATGTCTGTGCCACACTGTTCTGGGGGTGGCTCATGCTGTTTGCCCAGTTTTTAACAATGCAAAGTAGGATAATGATGAGAAGGGGGAGGGGAATGTGTAGAGTGGAGGGGGCTGTGATGTGTCTCTGCCACCCACCCCACCCCACATCTCCCACACCCACTCCACTTTGCTTTTATTTTTGAGGCAGAGTCTTATTTATTTTTGCGACTTGGGGGGTATGAATTTGACATCAAGGTGGGGGAGGGGAGAGAGAGAGAGAGTAAGAGAGAGTAAGTAAGCAAGTAAGACTGAGGCATAGAGTAAGATACTCAGCTTTCAAGAAAATACAAGAAAGACTGCTGCTGTTGGCTGTGCAGAGCCAGTGTGTGCATTGAGGAGAATGCTTGTCATAGAGCTGGGAGCCCAGGGTCTTTTCCTTTTTTCTGCCAATCACTGCCTTTTCGAGGCCCTCAGCCCCGATGCCATCTCAGCCTTCTGCTCTGCTGTTCCTCCAAGTCTCTGTTTGCTTCTTGTAACTATCCGCGCGTTATTAGGAATGGCTCTGGATATGTGTCCCATGTCCTTCTAAGCATCCAGTGAAATTCTGAAAGTGTGTAACACTCATGTTCAGAGCCCTGGTGGAAGCATAACCTGCTGATATCTGATCTCACCCTGGGAAGCAAACCAGAAGCTGAGCTGTTGACTAGAGGGCAGTTGGGTAGATGGATGTCACAGGATGTCAGCTGTCCCTTTCTGTGAAGCCTCTGAAGCACGGGCACAAGGAGCTGCCATATTGTGACAGCACCCTGAGTCACTCAGGACCTGGCGTGGAGCCATTCAGATTTCTATACCAGTATGTTTTCAACCTTCGACAAAATGTGCTATTTTTAATCCCAGCACTTGGGAGGTAAAGGTGGATCTCTGAGTTTGAGACCAGCCTGGTCTACAGAGTGAGTTCCAGGGACAGCCAGGGCTACACAGAGAAACCCTGTCTCAAAAAAAAAAAAAAAAAAAAAAAAAAAAAGAGTCTGAGTTAGATGTTTGGCTTGTAATAGAATTTATTATCTCATTAGATATCCACCAAGGACATGTTACATAACAGAAGGCGTTTCTGGGCCTGAGGATGCATGGTGAAACACAGAAGTCTCAGTCCTGGTGGAATCCGGACACACAAGATGGAGATGATGACAGATGTCACAGGCCAAAACAAGGTGGCAAGAGTTCCAGCAGGGCAGTGGGGACAACGTCACCAGGGATGGATCCACGCCTGCAGCATTTCCATAAAACAGTGCTCCTGCAGTGGTGGCTGGTGGCTGTAATCTCAGCGCTTGGGAGGCTGAGGCAGGAGGATGGGAAGTTTGAGCTCAGCCTAAGCTACTTAGTGAGAACTTGTTTCAGCACAAAGCGGCTGACAGTGTTACTTTATTTCACGGATGTGGAACTGGAGACCCCAAAGGCTGTGAGTGCTGGGGATCTAACCCGGGACATCAGGACCCATGACATCAGGAAGAGCAGCCAGTGCTCTTGACCACTGAGCTGTCTCTCCGCCCAAAAAGAGATGTATTCTATGGTGTTTATCTCAGCCAACTTTTAAAAAAATAATCTATGAGTATTCTGTAGCTGTCTTCAGACACACCAGAAGAGGACATCAGATCCCATTACAGATGGTTGTGAGCCACCATGTGATTGCTGAGAATTGAACTCAGGACCTCTGGAAGAGCAGCCAGTGCTCTTAACCACTGAGCTATCTCTCCAGCCCATCAGCCAATTTTTAAAAAAGGTTATTGTTATTACGTAGATTGATCAAGAGGTGTGTGTGTGTGTGTGTGTGTGTGTACACATTTAGAGAGCAACTTCCTGGAGGAGTCTATTTTCTCCTACTATGTGGATCCTGTGATTAAACTCAGGTTGTCAGGCCTGGAGGCAAGTGCCCTTACCTGCCTCAGGCAACATCCATCCATTTATCTGTCTGTCTGCCTGTC